AACCACGCCAGACTAGATAGGCAATGTTCTTCTCCAGATTCGTTTTTCACATCACCTACAGGCCGGGATCCAAAAACACTAAACCAGATGCGCTTTCACGTATGTTCGAGGATCCAAAGGGATCTCCAAAACCAGACACCATTCTACCAGCAGGTAGTTTCTTGCTATTACAGTCTGAACTTTTTTCTCAATTGCAACAGGCCTCAGTGGGAACCTCTAGCCCCTCCTGGAATCACTGTACAGAACAGGGAAGGGCTTTTATGGAAAGGGGAGCAAATTTTGGTACCCGAAGGGGCACAAACTCTTGTTCTGGGTTACTGCCATGATCACCCATTAGCAGATCATTTCGGGGTGTCCAATGTGGCTGAATATGGCTAAGGATTGAAAAATATATGTAAGGACTTGTGCCATCTGCAATCAGAACAAGACCACTCAGAACAAAGCCTGGGGTTTACTTAAACCCCTACCGGTACCTGATAGGCCTTGGAAGATGATATCCATGGACTTTATAGTGGAACTTCCACCTTCCCAGGGACATACCACTATTTTTGTGGTTGTGGACCGGTTATCAAAAATGGCCCACTTTTTGCCATTAAAGAATACACCCTCTGCTTCTGAAAAAACTGCTCGGATTTTCATTAAAGAAATCATAAGACTCCATGGAGTTCCTGTGAACATTGTCTCGAACCGGGAGGTACAATTTACCTCGAGATTTTGGAAAGCACTACGCGAAACCCTGGAAATCAAGTTATCTTTCTCCTCTGCCTACCACCCACAAACAAACGGGCAAACCGAACGAACCAATCAGACCCTGGAACAATACATCAGATGTTACACATCCTTCCCACAAGACAACCGGGTGTCACTCTTGCCTCTGGCAGAGTTCGCATATAACAATGCTAGCCATTCTGCCATTAAACAATCTCCATTTTTTGCTAACTATGGGTTCCACCCTACCTTTTTACCTGACCTGGTCCCAGAAACATCCGTGCCTGCTGCTCAGAATATGCTAAATTTCTTTGCCTCTAACAATAAGTTGTTACAGGAGGCGGTTGCAAAAGCCCAGGAAGACAACAAGAGAGCCTTCGACAGAAAGAGAAGGGGAGAACTAATTCTGCATCCGAGAGACCAGGTCTGGTTGGCTACAACTAATCTGAAGATGGCATGCCCTTCGAGGAAGTTGGCACCAAGGTTTGTGGGCCCATTCCCGGTAAGACGCAGGATTAACAATGTCTCATACGAATTGGCACTTTCGGAATCCATTAGAGTACTTTCTTTTGGTGGTATTTGATCGCCTGTGCGTTTTTCATTTTTTGTGCAATAAAAAAGAAATAAAGACCAACACTTTTTAGAAAAAAACTGTGTTTTTTACTTTTTGCTATTAAACATGTCCAGTAAAAAAATGTAAAAAGTTAAATTTCATCATAAATTTAGGTCAAAAGGTATTCTACTACTTGTCTTTGCTAAAAAAAAAATCCCAGTACATGTAAATTAATTGGTTTATGTGAAAGTTCTAGCATTTACAAATGGTGGTAAACTGGGATTTTTTTTTATTTTATTTTTTTATTTTTACTAAAACAGGTGGAACATGTAACTTTATAGGTGAACTTATCTTTTAAAGCCCAACACTAGTCATAATTTTTTGTAGATCTGGATATTGTGTGAAAGGTTTAGAATTGCTGTTTTTGTTCATTTTCCTTGCTTCCTGTCTATTCGACAGATGTCAGGTAGGAAAGGAGTTGAGCAGAAATATCCTCTATGGGAACACAAACAAAAGTTAAAAGCTGACAGAAGTTCATTCAGTGGTTTTGTTAACCTGCCACTGTCAGCAATGTATGATTATGGCACTCCCAGACTCAAATGCATAGTGGATTAACAACCCACAGGACCCCAATCTACATTGCAACAGACTGAGAGTGATCAATACTGGGGCCTGAATAGCTCCACAGTTAACCCCCTATACTCAAATTTCTGCCACCATATGTTTAGCAAAAACATGAACCAATCACTATAATCATTATAATCACTGTGAAAAGTAAAGACAATAGACTGAGACAATAATTCAACAGCAAAAGAAAAGGGATTAAGAATAACAAGTACATTAAAAAGTCCTGGGTTTTTTGCGTTCAGTCAATACAGCATAAACTTGATCCAAGATTCCAGTCGTTGGCCCTCAAGAAAAGTGATATTTTTATGGTAAAGGAGAGATGTCTAGCTGAAGTTACAAAATATTTTTGTGAACCTTGAATAGGGGGTTCCTGAGCCCTTCTCCACCCAATCACAATGTTTAAGGGGTGAGAAAAAGGGTTAATTAAATATTTTATAATTTTTTAATAGACTCTCCCACAAAGTAAATCTTCTACATGTGGTCATATTTGATATTACCACATGTCACAATCTAGTGACCCATATTGTATATTGCTTCATGCTCTCAAACGTTGAATAAGAACATGGCATTATTCTTATGTGTATTCTTTTTAAGTGATGTAATGGGTGTATTTGGCCTTCTACAGTATATAGTATAACCTACTAAAAAACTTGTGTACATTTTCATTAACAATGCCATTTTATTAGAAAAGGATTTATGAAATATGTGTAAATGTAGCTCTTCAGCATCTAGACAAGAATGTAGATTCCCTTAATTGCCTGCTAAGATTTTTATGACTGTCATGAGCAGCTCTACTGATGCAAGTTAGACCTAACATGGTAACTTTACAACATGCAATTAGAAATATCTGAAGATTTACAGACTCTGGCCAAAACATGTTTATTCCACTTGAGCCGCTTGATCAAAAGATACCTTGATAAATAGGTTTTGTAACCTAGGCTTGTGAAAAGCTTACTGTGATGGGATAAGGCTATATATTATTATTATTATTATTATTATTACATCGAGTTTATATAGCGCCAAAGGGTTTGCTCAGCGCTGTACAATAGGGGGGGGGGGGACAATACATGGCGCAGTACAACAATAACAAACAACGTACGAGAGGTAAGAGGGCCCTACTCTTTCGAGCTTACAATCTAGGAGGGCGGGGGTAATGGTACAGTAGGAAGTGGCTGAGGGGAATGAGGGGTGGGAGGAAAGAGAGAGAATGGCCATTAGGTGAGGGTGGCGTAGGCTTCCCTGAAGAGATATAATCATGTTGTGATGAGATAGCACTCATTAGCACATCTCAGGTTACCAGTGGTTTGCTAACTGATGTTAATTGTAGAGTGGCAGAATGTAGAATGGCAGTTTCTGAGGCTGAATGGCAGTCCTTTGGACTTTCCAGACCTTCTGAGAAATGCTTACTCAATGTAAATAGTTGTTTGGAATGCAAGAAGCCTGCTGAGTTGAATGGTTTCTTACACACAGGATGTAAGTGTTGATGATTTTAATTTAATAGAATGCCAGAGTTTCAAACTTTTGGGATAACACCCCATTCACAGTTTAGCCTTTGGGGGTCCTAGGCCTCATTATCATTACACTGACCACCAATGTAAAAGGGAACACTTAGTAATGACTACTACTATATGCCATACTGAGTACTGGCCACTATTGTAATGGAGGCATACTTAGTACTGATTGCCCATATATAGGGGCACACTGAGTACTAACTGAGCAACTAATATGTACATAGTCCTGACCCCCACACTCTATATGTTGCACAATTCTGACGGGCGTGGCGTCAGACCCCAGTCCTTCTCACCAACTTGTGACCAAAGGACTAGCCAATCTAAAACCGCGCTACCACTTGCGTAACAATGCCACTCTCAGCTGCACCCTGCACAAAGATTTTCCAGGTCACTGGACCCCAATCTAGGTGCCAACAGCCTGAAAGTGATTGTTACTGGGTCAGTTTAATTTCGCAAATAACCCTTCACACTGCCACCACCACCTTTTTACAGAGAAGGAGGAAACTCACAAATCTTAGCAGTAACACTATGATGTTTGAATAAGCGTCTGTATACACCCTGTCACCACAGACAGATGTATCCAGAGGTTTTAAAACACACAGTAGCACTCTTCAGAGACAGGGATTCTTAGTTTGCATTAAAGAGCTTTAGAAACAGTTCAACACTTTTCAGAAAATAGGATTTATTACTAAAAAGGTCAAAATGGTGCAATAAAAATATTTACAGAAAAGATGTAACCAATATATATATATACAGTATATATATATATATATATATATATATATATATATATAAATAGAAAAAGCAATAACACAACAGAGAGATAAAAGAAAGAAGTTTAAGAAGGTAGAATACTTGCAGAAGTCCTGGTTTAAGCAGAGTTCAAGTGTCCTGAACAAAAAGGTACCTTTTCTCCCGAAGTTGGTTCCTGATGTTAAAAGGGAGAATCTCTTCATCTTCACTCTCCAGGCATGACAGCCTGTTTTCTAGGAGCCCAGCAGGGGGTGTCTACTGAAGCCAAGGGCCAATCTCCTCATTGGGGAGGGGGTTTAGGCGGATTTGAACCAAATCCCTCCCAATTTTATACCATGGTCAATAACCTTCCATAGGTGCATGCAGCAGCCTAGCCACTGGCACATTAATATGCAGAATGATATCCTGAACGTCCATCAAATATGACATATCTGGCTGTGATGGTTAAAGAGATATCGCTCTCTGCTCTCTGGTAGACGTTATCTAGGGGTGTGAGGTATCAGGTGACTTGTATTAAAATGACCTATCTGAATATATGCTTTTATTTATTGTACCTCGTTCCTGCCGGGATTTATGAAATTGTATGAAAAAGTGGTTTCAAGTGGGATGTATGTTTTACTGCCACTTCTGGAATGCTTTCATGCTTTCAAAAGAAAGGTGGAAAAAGTTCTGAAATGATTTATCTTTGTCTCATTTTTTTACATTAAAGAAACCTGACATTTTACAGGGGTGTGTAGACTTTTTATATCCACTGTACATGTCCCGACAGCCTTAGTGGCTGTGGGCTTGTAGTGTTCAATGAACTACCACGGCACTGTGGATCACCGTCAGGGGCGGACTGACAACTCATGGGGCCCCCGGGCAATAGCGGATCATGGGGCCCCTATGTCCTTGCCCAAACTCAAAAAGCCTATGAAAAAGGTACCAGGGGCATCTCATGGGGCCCCCTACTGATCCTGGGCCCTCGGGCAGTGCCCGAGTTTCCAAATGGTCAGTCCACCCCTGATCACCGTGGTTGTCCATTGAAGCTTCCTGTCAGAATATCTGCTTGCTCTTACATCCTGTATGGCAAGCAGATATTCTGACAGGTCTGTAGGATACCTGCATGGCATCAGTGACATACTGATCACTGGTGCAATGCTTTACAGGCTTCTTTGGACAAATATGTGTTTATTACACAGGTCTGCAAAAAATTTTTTTTCAAGAGCTGTTTTGGTTATTCCACGTAATCTTTATGTTTTTTGGTGCGCTGAATGCGAAAATGACCTCCATTTTGTCATAGGACATCACGTTTCCTGACAATTTAGGTAACTATGTTAAATAAGGCAATACTTCAAAATAAATGGAAATAGACTTATAAAATTAAAGTTTTATTACAATTTTTTCATGAAAATCCTTTTTTGAACTGAAATGAGCTCACCTACACACACTAAACTCGATTCTTCTTCCCTGTGAGGCTCCTCTTGGTGCATTTACGCTTGTGAGTAGAATCTGGAATGTCTCTCTGAAGCATCCAACAGTAGTCTGCCATCATTGTAATGCTCCATTTTCCCTGGTATCTCCTTTCCATCTCTTTAATGTCTTGGTGGAATCGTTCACCTTGTTCCTCACTCACAGCTCCCAAATTTTCAGGAAAGCAGTCAAGGTGGGACTGGAGGAAATGCACTTTCAAACTCATCAGGCAACCTAAAGCTTGAAATGCTTTCAGCATTCGTCCGACAATCTTTTTGTAGTGAGGATCTTTGTTATTGCCTAAAAATTTCTGTACGACTTCTTTAAATGCAATCCACCCTTCTTTTTGAGGATCCGTCATGGTATTGACAAACTCTTGATCAACTATAAGCCTTCTAATGTCTGGTCCGACGAACACACCTTCCTTCAATTTTGCCTCCAACAGGCCTGGAAACTTGGTGACCAAGTATTTGAAGCATTCTCTATCTCTTGAAAGTGATTTTATGAATTGCTTCATCAATCCCCTATTTTATGTAGAGAGGTGGTAGAAGAACTTTATGGGAAGGTACCAAAGTTTCTCGGAGGACATTTTTTTCACCGACTGTTAGCACCCTCGGCTGCCAGCTCTTCTTGGTCCAGTGATTTTGTCGGTCTCAACTGTCCCATAGACACAGAAAACAAGGGTATTTGGTATCCCACCCACTGGATTCTTCAGGAAAGATTAACCCCTTCTACCATTAGAAGCACAGACTCAGGGCTGAGGCTTACACATACAGCATGCTGCTAAGTATCCCAGTAGTCAGACATGTCACTCAGATCAGCACTTGTATTCACCCCCTTTGCAGGGGGGGAGGGGAAGAGATTGTTTACCTGCAAATAACAACAAAGGGCCAGAAGAGAACTAGGGACATGAGGAAATAGAATTTTTTTTTCCCCTAAAACTTGCTTAGCTTATGTATATATTGCTGACCATCAGATTTCCAGTGCTATATTTTTTTTTACATAACTCAGACAACCCATTTAAGGTTTTTTTTGGCATTTTATATCTTAAATGCACTTATGCGAATTAATTAATAGTAATTTGGACTTTAAATTTGGTTAAAAACCCATAATATAAAAAAAATACCAAAAATTAAAAAAATTTGATACATTTGAAGACAAGTTTGCATTTTGTGGCAAACCATGACGTCTAGGAGTTTTTTCAATATTTTATTTGTTTTCAGCACACCAAAATACATGGAAATTAGATGAAAATAATCAAGCAACTTTTTAGTCGCAGACCTGTGTTATTTTTGTCCAGAAGGTGAACTTATCCTTTAAGTATATTTGCAAAACAAATTAAAAAAAAAACTTCAAACTGTTTGCCACCAGAATTGTAAGGTAACACAAATCTGCTATTATCCCAATTTATTTGCAGAATGAAACTTTTAATCTCTTTGAATTTTGATTGTTGATTTTTTTTTCAATTTGCTGGCTACTTGGCAGAATTTCCTTTCTGCACTCTTCCTAATCAGCTACACTGACTGTCAATGCTGTTGGCACATGCAGAGCTTGTTGTTTAAAAATAATGGTGTATTACAGAACTTAACTAATTTGTAAAGCCGGTCTCAGTTCTACAATCTTATATTCCCCATTGATTTCTATCTGATGATCATGTTATGCCACAAAAACCTGCAATGTGTTCTTTATCTGTAAATTAGACCATGTCAGCTATTCACTTTTCTAAACAGAAGTATGAATGACAGTTTTCACTTTCTTGACATTTCAGCTAAAAACAGAAAATATCAACAAAATGCACTGGAGTCAATGGAGAAAGTTTATTTAGAGTGCCACTGGTCCATTGGTGGTTTTTAAGGTTATAATGGGCTTTAAATAGTTCCCAAGGGTTACAGATGTCTCTTTCAAATATCTTGGACTGGTTCCTGTGCCATACAATTGTCCCTCATTAGCTTCAGTCAGAGGCAAAAAACAGTCAGAGTACAGAAATACTAAATAAAAAGTAGCTGTATACATACAATGCTAAATGCACACAAAAACAAAGAACACAAGAAATAAACTAATTATACCAAAAACACCCCTAAAATACACCTTCTAAGAAAAAAAGTGTATATTTTCCAAACAATTTTTTCCTAAGCAGCTCAGTAGGCGAAATAGAGATTTTACTATTTAGTGTATCTAAACCCATGAAAAAAAGATTATATATTTTGTATAAATAAAGTTTATATAATGCAGCTTTCCAGTAGATCTTAGATGCAGTGGCTGCAGTAGTTTTTTTTAAAGCTTATTTTCCATTATTATTACCTGATGATTCATCTAGTAATACACTTCATGTCTTAGGCTGGCTATGCTCACACTTCCACTTGTACCTAGAAAAGCAGCCTATAGCGGCAGCACTGTCAACCTGTGGTGAGGGTCGTGATAGACGAACTAACAGTTGTAAGGACTAATTTATACTTTTGGATTGCATGTCAGAATATGGGCATTGTGGTATGTACCCGTTTATTTTGAATGGCACTAAAATATATAGTAAGCAAAAGCTATATACAAATTGTTGGAATGCAGAGTTCATGTATTTTGTGCTACAACTACATCAGTATTCAGTAAAGATATATTCTTTAACCAGTAGATGGCAGTGTTTATAGGTTTGTAGCTGCATCTATGGTAAATTCTATGTCTTTTCTCAGAATACAATTTCCTTGTTGTGTTGCTATGAAGCAGAAAAGCACATGTGGACTGTGCACTGTCTGTTCTGTAGGGCTATATACAGAATTTCTAATGACTACAGCAAATAAGTAGTGATGGGCTGCATGTTTGAGTTGAATGTAAATTGTCACATGAACAGTATGGGTTTTCAGTTGGCTGTTCGCCCTCTGCACCCACAATGCACTGAGCCCTTTGCCACAGGCAAATCACAAGGCATGATGATGTCACAAGGGGCCATTACCCTATTTAAGAATTGTCATCACGGCGCAGCTGTCAGACAGCGGGAGCAAGTGTCGTTTTTTGGGTTGGCGCTGGCGGCGGGGATCGTGATTGAGGTTGGATCTAATTTGGGTGACATTTTTTAATTTCTTATTTTTAATGAAGGACTTGTCAAAGACTGTGTTCTGTCTTTTTTTACACTACACTTTTTTTTCGTGAATGGGTAGCAGTACCATGTACTGCATACTCATTCTCATAGTAAGAGCTGGGACCTGGGCGCGCCCTTGTTAAAAGAGGCTTCCAGATTCTGATAAGCCCTCCATCTGCAGACCCCCACAACCACCAGCCAGGGTTGTGGGGAAGAGGCCCTTGTCCCCACGGTGATTTGGGGGGGAGCCCGCCTGCCCCAGAGCACCCCCCCATGTTGAGGGCATGTGGCCTGGTATTGTTCGGGGGGGTGCTCTCTCATACTCCCCCTTTCCTGACTTGCTGAGGTGCACGCTCAGATAAGGGTCTGGTATGGTTTTTGGGGGGACCCCACACCATTTTTTTTTAAATTTTGGTGTGAGGAGTTCCATTAAAGGATTGAGCACTCAACGCTCAAAGCTAATGCAACACGGAGAGAAAATGTAAGGGGGGGTTTCAACCAGACTTTGGATGGTATGTAAATGCCCTACACCCAGGGGCGGACTGATAACTCATGTGGCCCCCGGGGAATAGGGGATCATGGGGCCCCTGTGCCTTTGCCCAAACTCAAAAACGCCTATGAAAAAGGTACCGGGGCATCTGATGGGCCCCCTACTGACCCCGGGCCCTCGGGCAGTGCCCGAGTTTCCAAATGGTCAGTCTGCCCCTGCCTACACCTATAGAATTTTTTAACTTTGGTCAAAGCTGCACAATTTGTTTTTATCTATAAGCACCCCTCACCTTCACAGGCCATTTTTTATAAAAGTGGACTAACCATTTAGGGTTGCTGATAGGTTCACTTTAACAACCAATAGCTGTGATATCTATTAATATCTTTCATTTGAATATGCTAAAAGTTAAATAAGCCTTTCACTGTTAAATTGTTTGGAATGCTGCTGTTTAATCCCATCTGGGAAACAGCTTAAGGATATATAACCTTGGAAAACAAACACATCCAAAATAGACCTTAAGGGTTTTAAAATAATTTACAGTACAATATGAAGGATAATTTCTCAATCTTCCTGCTTTGCCGCCCTGCTAAAAGTTTTTGGTGAATCTCTCTGATGTTAAATGTACAAAGGAAAAGTAACACTCTAGCACTGTTTGTTTACATAGATCTATCAGATTTATTAACAATAAAACACACTTTTATAATACAACTGATAAAAGATGAATCATTACTAACAAGCCTGAGGTAGTAATATTATATATGGCTATGGCCAGTAAACAGCAACAAGAAACTCTGCTATACTGAATTACACAGTCATGGTTCAAGGACTTTGTGGTAGACAAGCCTTAAGCCAGCTCTTCCATGTCATCACTGATATATTCCTAGGCAGCAAAGTATTTTAAAAGCATGTGACATTTAAAGTGTACTGTCTATACACATTTTCATTGCTTTTTTTTGATCTTTACTTATTAAAGGGGATCTGTCAGTTTAGAAATATTGGAATATGTTTTTTTCAAGGTACGGGATCCTTGATTGTAATCTTTATCTTTACCTCTGACATGGAACAAACTGTACTAAAGGAAGAGGTAGGACCTTTGACATTAACATACTTGCTCTATGTTTATGAATCAACAAGAGTGAATAAAGATAAAGAAGAATAGCAGTCCTTCTGCCATGCATTTTAAAAGTAACGGCACAATGTAGCTCCCATCTTTCTGTTATGGCAGGCTCCTTTTGAAGAAACAGAATTCCAATTGTCTTTCGAAAATTACATAAAAATGATACAACAAAGAAAAAGGACATAATATAGGTATATTTTACCTGCAACTTCAAGGGTAACTAAATCAAAGAGCAAAAAATTTAATATGTTGCAGCTTACTGATCTTTAGACATGGTAGCTCTATTTGTGTTCATTGTTTGAACTAAAACCTTTTCAGACTTCCAGTTTTGGCGCCTCATTGAGTGAAGGTGAAGAGACCATGCTCCCGCCACACTCCCCCACCGCACCTCTCAAAGCCTGCCACAGCCCTGGGGTTCATCTTATCCTCACCTGTCACCTCCAGGGATACCCATGGACTGCTTTGTGGAGCAGTCGAACACCAGTCCTCGTCCTCCGCCCCACACCTGTCACAAGGGGACACAGGATCAGCTGCAGCCAAGATGGTGGCCGCAATTCACACAGCCATAGGACAACAGGCCAGCACCCGGCATCCACAACCCCCTCCAGCTCAGCTTCCAGACTCTGCCTCTTCAGCGGGCATAGTCCAAGAGGTGATGGCACTCCTCACACCCATCCTCACAGCAGCTGTGGGTAATGTGGTCCTTAAAGGCCTAGAACAGCTCCACAAGGATCTCCATGCCCAGGCTCAGAGAATTACTGAGAAGGAAGAACGGATCTCTCCCATTGAAGATAAGTCTATGGCTGGATCTGCAGTGGTGGACAGACTCACAACTACGCAAAGGGAGCTATAAGAAAAGGTAGGTGACCTTGAAAACCTCTCACAGCATAACTTGTGCATTATAGGCCTGCCTGAAATGTACACTCCCTCTATTCCACTTCAATCCCGGAACTACTCCTGTTTGGTTGAACGAGCTCACCATCTTGGTCCTCCGTCAGACTCATGCTCTAAATATAGGCCAGTGATAGTCTGCTACTTGAACTATGCTGACAAGCAGGCCATTCTCCAAAAATTCTGACAGGCACGCACCTTGTCTGTTGATGACTATCAACTCTCCTATTCGCTGACTACTCCACTGAGGTAATGCGCAAACACAAGGCCTTTTCTTTCACTTGCTCCACTCTCTGCCGTAAACATATTAAATTCACTCTGGCATACCCTGTTGTTTTGCATATCAAACCTGCTGATGGAAATTGTCTCTCCTTTGCCTCACTGTTGCAGGCGGAACACTTTCTCAACACCACTCCTGAAAAATTAATGTATCAGGAAGAACCTTCCTCATCCTTCTCCCCCTCACAGGGAAAATCTGCACCCTTAAACTAGTGGTTTAATTTATAGTCTATTTTCACCCTTTTGGAATGCCGTTTGCTTACTTGTTTATGTACCAAATGGGTTTTTGATTCATGTTTAACTGCATTGACTGTACTCAGGGTTATGTTCTCGAATTCTGGTACTACTGTATTTGCTTTCAAATATGGCTAATCTCTATATGCCCCTTTCCTTTAGTGGGTGAGATGTGCCTTTAATCTCCTTCTCCTGTTGTCTTTACCCATCCCTGGTTTGCCCTTCTGCTTTCCCCCATCGTCTCTTTCCCATTTCTCTCTTTTTTTCTTCTCCTCTTCTCCCACCCATCCTCTACCCCCCCAGCCCTCTCATATTTCTTCCCTGACCCATTCCCCCTCATCCCCCCTCATCCCCCCTCTCCCCCACTACATTGCTCAACCTTTCCTGTTCCCCCCTGGGGTCCTTATTTATGTTACAGTGATGGAGCTTCCTGTGTGGGAGCCCTCACAAGGTTGCTTGGTGTGGAAAAAAGTGAAGTTCATAATGTTAGTGGGGAGTATCTCTCCTTTCGCTAAACTTGTTCTGCCTTTATTGTTCTGGTTCATTGTTTGTCTATTTTTCACACCCCTAGGTGCTGTTCATTACTACTGTGATCCTGGACTCATTGGGGCAATGCCTTGAGCGGTGTTGCCCTCTTGTGGGCTGTATTATTTTCCTATGCTGCGGCAGACATGGCTCCTTCTGATGATGGGGATCACCTGAAGGTAATTTCTTGGAATTTTAAGCGACTGTTCTCTCCTAAAAAGCGTATGCAGGTTCTATAGCATCTGAAGCGTTTGAGGGCAGATGTTGCTCTTTTACAGGAGACACATCTATCAGAAAATTATCTCACATGCCTGTCAAAGCTATTGGTAGGCCAAACATATGGGTCTCCTGCCACGGGCCTCAAAGCAGGGGTAGCTATCTTATTACATAAATGTCTATGCCATATTGTGCGCTCTATCAACTCTGATTCTGAGGGTCATAAACTTACCCTTCACTTAACCATTACCTCTCATGATATTGTTATCTCCAATGCATATGCCCCCAGTTCTCAGGGGCAGGCTTTAAACAAGATCTAGTCTCCTGGGCTCCACAAATACCAGAATCTTGCCATATACCTGGCAGGGATTTTAATTCAGTTATGCATCCCTATGCCGATCCCTATGCCCTCCCCCCCAACTCTAGCTCATTCTATCTCTAAGCTCAATTTTTGTGATACATGGAGTCTCCAACACCCAACTGACGAAGATCACATGTTTTATTTACACCCGCATGATTCTTTCTCGCTCATTGAATACTTCTTCTGTTCACCATCTCCCCTTCCCTTGCTAAGCAAAAACGCAATATTGGATATGGCCTTCTCTGTTCATTGTCCAATTCTGATGCAGGTGTCTGAGTTGAAAGCTCCGAGACATACCAGCTCTTTCCAACCTATCTAGCTAATAATGAAGATTTCACACATCATCTTTACACGGCTTGGGCAGACTTCGCAGTCACAAATGGAGCTCATTTAACCAATCCTAATCTGTTCTGGGAAGCTGGAAAAACATTCCTCAAAGGGCCTCATAATATTCTATACCACACAATTTAAAAAACAATCTCAACTTAAATACCACCAGGCCAGTGAATATCTCCATCAAGCTCATATTGCACTCTCACCTAATCAAACCCTGGACAACAAATTGACCTGACAATCTGCTAAACAAGCCCTTGATTACTGGGCTGAACAGCAGGAGGCAGCCAAACTAGCCTACTCCACCTTGAAATTTCATAGATACAGCAACAAGGCAGGCAAATTACTGGCATGGTTTTGTCTTGGTCCCTGCACTCCTACTTACATTTCGACTCTCCAGTTTCCCTCAAGAAAACTTCTTACAACACCCTCTGAAATTAATGCTCTTCTTACTTCCTATTACACCTTCTGATACTCAGAGCATCCAAGTGATTCCAAGACTGCTGAGGACTTATTTGCCAATGTATGTCTGCCCAAACTTACGCAAACCCAGCTAGACACTCTTAATGCTCCAATTACGTTTGATGACATTCGTGCCACAATAAAGATATTACCCTCTGCTAAAGCTCCAGGTCCTCATGGCTCCACGCTGAATTCTGTAAACTAACTGCAGACTTTATCCCAGACATTCTGCATCATGTTTACAAGGCAGTGTGGGCTGATGGCCCTTATCTTCCAACTGGCTTTCAGGCAGATATAAAACTCATTGCCAAAAAAGGAAAGAACGCACTTTCACCAGGGTCTTACAGACCTATCTATTTGATCATCGTTGACTCCAAAATATTGTCTAAAATCGTAGCCGCTAGGTTGGCCCCATTACTCCCTACCATACTGCATCAATCTGGCTTTGTGCCTGGCCAATCTGCAAAGCATAACATCCACAAAGTCCTAATGGCTCTCGTATATGCCAAAACCTGCCCAGCGATCATATCTCTAGATGCCTAAAAGGCATTTGTCAATATTAGCTTTGCCTGGCTCTTTATAGTCATGCAGAAGTTTGGTATGTTGGGTCCATTCTCGACCTCAGACATCCCTCTAACCAAAGGTACAAGACAAAGATGCCTACTTTCCCCCATTCTTTTTAACATTGCTTTAGAATCTTTATCCAGGCTACTTAACTCCAACACGGGGGTTAATGATATCACGATCAGCGACCTTACTTTTCATTCAGCTCTATTTGCTGACTATATACTATTGTTCTCCTCAGATCCACCCTC